CCAAAATACCGTAAATCACCAAACCACTTGCCACAAAATCGCCTGGCGCCCGCGCCACAGGCGCCGGCGCCAGACAGCGGCACAAGTCATGAAAGAAATGGCGAAAAACTTTCGTCAACGTAGCGCCTATTGCGCGCGCCAAGCAGTTTTGGGCCAAGAGGATGTAATATTCGTCTTCAGGAGGTCAAACTACCCCAGGAGACAAATTTTCAGCCAAATTTGCTCCCAGAGAAAAACTTGGTAAAAACTGGACTGATTTCTGAAGACTGGAGCAATAAAAGCTAAATTGTGTCGAAGATCGAGATTCGTATTCTCACCTTCTTGCATTTCTTGAAATACTTTGACCGTAGCCATTCATTTATCCAAAAATTACTAAGTTTCTACGAAGAAAAATGTGCCGTCCCACGGGCAATTCATGAAAAAAAACGGCTCGTCAACGTGTTAAGACGCTAAACTGGTGTCCGGTAGCCCCAGATGGCGCCTACGCAATAAAAGACGCTCATAATCGCGATCGGGACATCGGATTACCTGCTCAGTCTATGGTAAGTTATCCTGTGCGCGATGAATTTCGAGAACTTGATCGGTTTGTGAACTGGCTGCACTTTAAATCACTGCTTGACTAGTGAATTATCGAGGTTTTTCATGGCCCAACCATACGTAAAAATTTGTACACCTACCTATATAGAACAACGGAAAAGATCTGCGCATTACTCAAAACGAAGAAATTCAAGTTTGTGGAGGTAGTGACACACCATGTGTGTCATGAGGCCACAGAGCAGAAAACGAATAACAAACCATTTTGCACCGTGTGTCACGTGGTCCGGAATGTGTCAAGCTCGGCAATCAAGCGGTTTATATGCCGCTGATTACCTAGAGTTTCGTTGACAATTTTTTTTTTGCAGACTGGTTACATGTTTGGAAAAGGTGTCTACTTCGCCGACATGGCATCTAAATCTGCCAACTACTGTAGGGTTAGTGTCACGAATGTTCTTTAATGATCCTATCTTTTGTGCAAGGAAATATTTTCAAGGTTTTCTCTGACAATACGGATGGCCTCATGCTGTTATGTGATGTTGCACTGGGCAAGGTGAAACAGGAGTTCAATGCTACTGACCATTCGTTGAAGACTATAAAAGGCTACAACAGCGTGCAAGGTTTGGCATGCTCTGATTAATATGACCAGTTCCCGTTAGATTTACCTCATATGTACAAGTAAATGGCTATTCAGGTGTGGGTGGAACAGAGCCTGATCCTACTCAATTAACTGTCTGTGACGAGGGATACTCAGTTAACATTGCAAAGCCTGTGAAAAAGGAAACATCGCAGAATCTTTCTTTGCTCTATAACGAGTGAGTATTTTAATTTGTTTATCAATTAGAGTTATTAAGCAAGTTCGGCGAAGGGGAGGGGAACATTTAGCATTTGCTGCTTCTCTAGTTCCCATTTACAAGTCTCACTCTGGTGAAACCTGTAAACTCCTGTGAAGCTTGAGCAAGCTCGTCGAGGTGAAATCTGTCATCTGAGCTCATGGAATAATAGCTTTCTAGATGGATAGATACATCGATGGGGAAGTAGCAAAAAGCAAAATGCCCCTCCGTCGCCGAACTGCTCCGTCTTTTTTTTAGTTATCGCTGTTTTCAAAACTACTATTTTTAGGTATATCGTTTACGACGTTGATCAAATACGGATGCGTTATCTTGTCCGTACCAGGTTTAAGATGTCAACTGATCTAGTATAATCTGATTCCAACAGTTCTACTGAAAATAGAACACAGAAAACATGATTGTCATTAATTTCAGTAGGGTTCTAATCCCTTTCAGTTCAGTATCACTCACTGAGGAAGGTGCGGAATTGTTTGGTTATCCGGACTTATTATTGTGCTGGGAACATTTTGCTCAAGTCAGGTTAACTGGGGTATGTGACAAGAGAATCGTAATTCGCCGCGCTGATGGGCGTCGCGTGCGACGTCGCGCCCGCAAATGACGATGGTTCCAGGTCGTAGATGGCGACAGCAGGCAATGTAGAGCCGAAAATAGTCATAAATGTCTACAGTTTCGTAGCCCACGTGAAATTTGAGGCTCTAATCGAAGGGCTAACTCGAGCTGAGAAAAAGCGCGTCCATCGCCGCGCACGGCGGAGCGGCAAAGTACGATTCTCTTGCCCGTCCCCCAGTTAACCGAGACAGTCTTACCGATCTCTCAGTTCCACGCCTTCACTTCTTCCCACTCTGGTACAGAACTGTCAGAGACTAGAATCAAATCATTTTTATGTTTTTTCATATCCTAATTCGTCTGGCAGCAACGGCATGCAAACGATGCACCTGACCCCTTGTAGTAGAATTTTACTATTCCTATCTATTGCCATGGGAGAGATTTATCAGTTCTCAGTGAAGCTACCATGCTTTGTTCGATCCTTACACAATGTGTGCAGGTGGACTCAGCCCAGAAAACTGTGTGCCGCTGCGGTCGGCGGATGATACTTTGATAACACTATCTACTCATGATAACATGACAAGCGTAGTTCGTACTGGCTATTTGCTTGGAAGAAAATGCTGTTCAAAGGGAACACTGTCAGAGACCTGAAATGAAGCGTGCTGAGTTGTGGCCGTTGAACCAGTAACGAGTGGGCACCTACACAGTTGAAACATTCCAGTAGATTAGGCGATTAGTCGTATGAGTCAAATACTTACCGATTACTCATCCTAGATTTTCAGCATGTAATTATTATTGTATATTGTTTGCTGTTCTGTTGTTGAAATATTTCATTTGTGTGAATACCGGCCCTGCCCTGCAGTTCCTTCAACACCGTAACTGAGCAATTTCATTTCTGTCTAGAAGAATTTGCCTCGTACTTTTTTTTGCTGCCACAGCATCAACAAGTATCTCACTTTCGAGTATTCAAGCAATTTGAGCGAATAGCCAGTAGTAAGTAGCCTTCAAGAAAGTTGACGTTTTGTGACCGGTACCTTTGAAGAACTAAATCTTCGGTTCGTGTTCGTATGTAGATCTCAAGAACGCTTTAGTAATGCTTTTTCTAGCTTTTTATGTCAACTTTCCTTATTTTGCGTAGAACTAACGAGTCACTGCTGAAGTTACGCGTGTGCAAATTCGGTTAACACTGACAATGACTGGTTAATGGCAAGCTATAGAACATTTGCATGTTTTACTTTTTGTCCAATTTTGCAATGAAGAAGTTGCTTAGTTCGTTCACTTCCTTCTATTTACAAACCAAACACATGAACAGATTAACATATCATCCCGCTTTGTGGAGAGAGGTGACAGTGAAGTCGCAGGTGGCAGCGCTTAACGTGTTTAGGTACCGGGGGAATTCATCATCGATCAGCTCCTGTTCGGGCCAACCAAGTCCTACAACCATTTAGGGTCGGTTTATTGGTACCAGGTTTGCCTAGGATCATGAAAAACGCTGATCTGTACA